TCTATGCAGGGTTGCCTGTGGAGCCCACTGTCAAGTGATACTGAAAGATTCATCTTTGTGGGTGATGGTAATAAAGTTGCAATGGAGGCTATAAGGTCTTTCAGATTACAGTTAAAAATTGGGTATTATTTGGATTTGTTTGAGACTTTTGTTGCACCGTCCTTTAGACGGAATTTAATTTATATTTCTAGTTTTGACAAATCAGAATTTTCTTGTTCATTTGTAAATAATAAAGTTAATCTTTATCAACATTCAAATTTTGTTGGTTCCGATTATTTGATTGATAATTTGTATATGCTTGATGTTGTTGACTCCTGTATTGAAATACTGCAAACCAATTCACGTGGTACAAAGCGAAAATTAAATGAGAATTCCACCACCTTATGACACTAACGTTTAAGTCATATCCCTAAGTGGAGAATTCAGAGGCTTGTGTTAGATGGAATTCTTGAGCCTCTAGATTTAACAAACTTCCAAGTTTGTATTAAGTGCATCAAAGGGAAACGAATAAATATTAGAAAATTAGGTGCCGAGAGAGCTACAGGCATCTTAGAATTAATACATACTGATATATGCGGTCCATTCCCTACGGCTTCTTGGATAGACTATAATACTTCATTACATTCATAGATGATTACTCTAGATTTGGTTATATATTTGATACACAAGAAGTCACAATGCTTGGACGTTTTCAAGTCTTTCAAAGTTGAAGTTGAACTTCAACTTGGAAAAAAAATAAAGGCTGTAAGATCTGACCGTGGTGGTGGATACTACGAAAAGTATGATGGATCGGGAGAACAATGTCCAGGCCCTTCGCTATTTTTCTCAATGAGTGTGGAATAGTTACGTAATACACCATGTCGGGCAAACCCATCATGAATGGTGTTACAAAGCGATGAAATCGAACACTTAAGGATATGATAAGGAGAATGATTAGTCATTCCTCCTTGCCAGAGTCATTTTGGGGAGATCCTTTGTGGACCGTAGTATACATCCTTAACAGGGTATCGAGCAAAGCAGTTGACAAAACCCCCTATGAGCTTTGGACAGGCAATAAGCCTAGCATTAAGTACTTGCACATTTGGGGTTGTCCAGCTGAGGCTCGGCCTTATAGGCCACATGAAAGAAAACTGGACTCAAGGACGATTAGCTGTTATTTCGTTGTTTATGCTGAACGGTCTCAGAGATATAAGTTTTACAATCCCACATCAAGATCTTTCTTTGAAATGGGAAATGAGAGATACCTTGAGGATATTGAGTTTGGGGAAAAGAAAACATAAGGAATGTTGCCTTTGAAGAAGAATATGTTATCAATGGCGATCAGGTCTCTATACCTATTGTTGTTCAAGACACAATTCTGAAACTAGATGAAAATGTTCAGGCTCCTATCCCTGACATTTTTCAAGACAACAATGAGTTTCTTCCTCGAGCACCACCTATAGAATAAACTTAACAACCTCAAGAAGTATAATTAAGGAGATCTACTAGGGAGAGAAGAAATGCAATTCCAAATGATTATATCATCTTTCTCCAAGAACTTGAGCATGGCGTTGGTTTAATAGATCAACTTCCATCAAGCCATGCGCAATTCTAACTCTCAAAAGTGGATTGATGCCATGAAGGATAAGATGAAGTTTATGGAAGGCAATGACGTTTGGGATCTCGTCAGATACCTAAAAGTGTGAAGCCCATTAGTTTTAAATGGATATTTAAAATCAAGAGGGATTCAAAAGGCAATATCGAGAGATATAAAGCTCGTCTAGTCACTAAAAGCTTTATTCAAAATGAAGGCATAGACTACAAAGAGACTTTCTCTCCGGTATCTTCAAAATACTCTTTTAGAACAATAATGGCACTGGTGACTCATTTTGATCTGGAGCTACATTAGATGGATATAATGACTGTGCTTCTCAATGGAGACATTGACGAGACGATTTGCATGTTATAGCCAAAAAACTTTGTATCGGGAGATCCAAAGTCTATAGTCTGCAAATTGAAAAAACTCATCTATGGTCTCAAACAGGCTTCCCATCAATTGTATCACAAGTTCCATCAAGTCATCACCTCATACTGTTTTGAGGCGAATGTTGTTGATGACTGTGTATATCACAAGATCAGTGGGAGTAAATATATCTTGTTGTTATTATATATCGATGATATTATGCTCGCTAGTAGTGATATAGACTTACTACACGAAACCAAAAAATTTTTGATGGACAAATTCGAGATGAAAGATCTTGGGGACGCTTATTTTGTATTAGGTATTCAAATACTGAGAGATCATTCTTGAGGTATTCTTGGGTTGTCACAAAAGAACTATATCGATAAGGTTTTGAGTAGATTCAGCATGAAAGATTATAAATCAGGAGACA